ATAAAAACTGTATATATTTAAGGTATACAAGTGATGTTTTGATATGTGCATGTGAACTGAAATGATTACTACAATCAAACTAACATATCTATCACCTCCCATGGTTATCATTTGTGTGTGTGTGTGTGCGCGCGCGTGCGTGCGGTGAGAACATTTGAGATCCATTCTTTTAGCAAATTTCTATTGTATAATACATTATTTTTAACTATAGTCACCATGCTGTACCCTGTTTCCGGAACTTATTCATCTTATAACTGAAAGTTTGTACCCTTTGATCAATATTTCCACTTTTGCCCCACCCCCTCCCTGAAGCTTCTAATAACCACCATTTACTCTCTGTTACTATCGTTTGCCTTTTTTTAGATGCCACATATAGTGAGATCCTGCAATATTTGTCTTTCTATGTCTGGCTTGCACTTAGCATAATGTCCTCCAGGTTTACTCATGTTGCTGCAAACAGCAGGATTTCTTTCCTTTCCTGAATACTATTCACACACACAGCACCTTTTCTTTATCCAGTCCTGTCAATAGACAAGTTGTTTTCACATCTGGGCTATTGTGAATAATGCTGCAATGAATACGGGAGTGCAGATATCTCTTGGAAATAGTGATTATATTTCTTTCAGATATATACCCAAAAGTGGTATTGCTGGGTCACCCTGGGAGTTCTGTTTTTAATTTTTTGAGGAATCTCCATCCTATTTCCACAGTGGCTGCACTGATTTACATTCCCACCAACAGTGCACAAGGGTTGGTTCCCTTTTCTCCACATCCTCGCCAATACTTGTTATCTTTGGACTTTTTGATAATAGACCTTGGCAATAACCTCTTAACAGCTGCTCTTCCTCTGGCATTCTGGGAGAGCCCCGTAACTGGGGCTGCTAGGCAAACCCACTGTGGGTTCCATGTCTTCTAAGGAAACACACCCCATTCCTGCCCCCTGTACTCGACACACCACAGAACTGACCTTCACGGTTGTGATGCCACTTCCAGCATGGTTGGCATCCAGCCCAAAATGGTCTCCATGACTACAGCTAAGGAGGGGTTTGTTGAGCCAACTTTAATACTAATGAGCAGTGTAGTAACGACCTTGCAATGTTGGCACATTGACCACTTTCTCTTCATCTCTTAGCACAAAATAGACTTACTATAATTATAAACTAAATGATCTGTTTTATTATTTAAAGAAAAAGTACTAAGTTCAATGCCTTATGTCTTACTTTTTGCTGATACACATTCTTGGGCGTGTTTTTCAATCAGGAGCCAACACTCAAGTCATATAAACTCTAGGGACTGTAATTCCATTTTAGGAAAAAAAAAAAAAAAACAGAAAAGGAAAAAAAAAAAAGAGCAAGACATTTCCATTACTCCTTGACTTCGAGAAGGAGGCCTCTATTTTTGTTTTGCTCCCTTTTAGTTTAGAGGCTATACTGGGCACTGTGAGTGGCTCTAATTTGCTAGTAAGAGCATTGCCCATTGGGAGTCAGGAGTTTGGGGTAGAACTGCACAACTGGACAACTAGATACCAGAGCTGGGTTTGGTCTAAACTGACCAAGTAGGGGAGTGGGACAGGCAGCAGTATGTGTCTGGAAGTTTCATAGTCCAAGAAAGAGCTTTCAGACTCAGCCATGAGGGACCCCTGAGAAGCACAGAAGCTGGCTAGGAAGTGTAGAGGTGAGCCAAGTGTGAACAAGGCTGGGACAAACCAGAAGTTGATTTGAATTTGGTGACAGGATAATGACGGGGTTTAAAAATTTCCAAGGAGCTAATCAAATGTTTTTTCTTTCTTTCTTTTTTTTTTTTTTAAAGATTTTGTTTATTTATTTGACAGAGAGAGAGAGAGAGAGTGACAGCGCAAGTGGGCAGGGCAGCAGGCAGAGGGAAAGGGAGAAGCAGGCTCCCCGCTGAGCAGGGAGCCCGATGCGGGGCTCAATTCCAGGACCCTGGGGGATCATGACCTGAGCCAAAGGCAGACGCCTAACTGACTGAGTCACCCAGGTGCAAATCTTTTTTCTTACATCATATGAGCCAAATGCCAATTAATTCCAAGCAGCTACTTTCCATGGTAATGTTTGGGATGTTTGCTTATTCACTACTTAATTCAAATTCTAAAGTCATTCACTGAGCTAAGTGGGACAATGACTCTAGAGCCTGCAAGGACATTTTAGTGTGCACACATGGAGAGGAAAACAATGCTTAGCACTTGGGGCCACAGGAGGGTGCTCTGAGCAGAGGGAGTGGGCTCTTGAAAGGAGGCCTCAGAAACAATTACAGGCCCACAAAGGAAAATGCCACTGTGGCTGGCTTGCATGCTCCATCAGCAAGATACTTAAAAGCTGGGTTACTGACAATATGAATTTATGTTTCATAGGAAGGAAAAAAAATCTGGTTATATCTGAAGGTTTCACATACCTGGGCACCAGGTTTTAATGGTTTGGAAGTGTAGATAATGTAGAAATGGCAATCATTTTACATGACTAGGAAGAAAGAAAATCAACACATTGCAAATTCCCACTTACTTAGAACACAAACAAAGCAAAAAGGCCAAATAGCAGATTTTTGTGTGATGTCTATACAATGTGCCTCTTGCTTTAAAGGGCCCCTAATGCTGGGGCGTCTGGGCGGCTCAGTTGGTTGTGTCCAACTCTTGATTTCAGCTCAGGTCATGATCTCAGGATCTTGAGGTTAAGCCCCTGAGTAGGGCTCTGTGCTCAGCGGGGAGTCTGCTTGAGATTCTTTCCCTCTGCCCCTCCCTCTGCACTCTCTTTCTCTCTCTCTCAAATAAATAAATAAATCTTAAAAAAAAAAAGAGGCCCTAATGCCAAGGAAATAAGTGATTATCAGGGATTTGACCTAAAGAAACTTTTAGTTATGCCATATGCATTTATATCCTGGTTTCCTTTAAATTTTACTGTCTTGGTATTGTATTATGATAAATAATTCAAGGACTTCAGAGTTTTAGGGGTTTTTATGGGTAGAAACTAGGGTTCAGAGAAGGGTTTAAGTGACTAGATCAGGATCCCAGAGCTAACTGGGGGCAGGCCAGAGTTTAGGGCACATGGTCCAGGAAGTCTCAAGATGGGGCCAATAGTCACTGAAGAGAGACTAAATTACATAAAATATGATTTTCATTTTAAATATATTTTAATATAACCGATTTTTTTGAAAATCGGTAAAAAACACAAAAATGAAATAGTTCTCCAGCAGATATAGATAGTAAATAAACTATAAGCTCCATCCTCTCCCCAAGATCATTCTGGATAATTGGAAGTTTCCAAATATTTCCAGAGAATTCCAGAATTGGAATAAACTGCAAAGGCATTCTTGCTGCCCATCTAGAGGAGAAGGGATCTTAACATTTGATGAATGCCTACTATGGGATAGAGACCATGCTGAGAACTTCTATGTTTATCATCTCAGCTAATGACAGGTTAAATATTCGCCCATTGATGTAGATGAGGAAAATCCAGCTCAGGATCACACCACAGCTGCCATTCCTTGGCCTTCCCACATTAGTTGATACATAAGTTTCCCTCCCTACACCAGCCCTGAGTACGTTATCTGCAACCGATTTGTCCTTTAGCCTCCGGTACTAGGATCTTTCTAGTTATCTAATTCCCAGGGGTGTGAGGAGTGTGGTACTGGAGCCTTTCATGTGGGTACATAAAAAAGAAGAAGAATGTGAAAATGTTGAGTGCTTATGCAGTCCCCACTCTTAGCTGGCCTCTCTCTTGTTCTGCAGGGCTAACAGGAGATGTTGTTTAACAAGGGACTGGATCTGGTGACCCTCTCTGACCCCTGTGACTTGGTTGCGTATTTGTTTTTTAATGTTGAATTTGGATGCCTTTCTGTGGAGCAGGTGCTTGCTCCACCTCATCCTAGTGTCTTATACGCATCCTGCTTTGTTCATTTTTATTATTTGCCAGGCCTCTGGAGGCATTTGGGTTTGTGACCCCTGGGATTTAATGCTAGTGGTACTACTAGCACCTCCCATCAGGGTCATGGTGTCTCTGGTATCTTTCAGAGTTGCTGCGAAAAGCTGCTCTGTTGCTGTGGGCTACTGCCCAACTCTGGGGCTCCAGTCACACAGACTATAGATTTGAGTTGTACCTCTGGGAACTGTGCAGTGCACAGCCTGCACAACTGTTTGTGGTGGCCCTAGTGTTAGACACTGTATAGATGCACAGTGAAAGATTCTGGATCTGAACCCAAGGTGTAAGGCTGCTCAGTGTTACCCTTGGTCCCATGTAAATGAAAGGGAGCGAAGATGATGGAAATAGAGGACTTGTATACACAGTTCAAAGGGTGACCAATTTCATATTTTGTCATTATGAAGCCCATCTTTTAAGTTCCTGCAGCTTAGGCCATCCAACTGAATGGATGTCAACTCTCAACAGAACGGGTCCAGCTACTAGTGTCCCTATAGTACAGATGTAACTGTACTCACTGAAGTAATTAAGAAACATGAGTAGGGTATTTTCAACAATGGTGAGAAAAGCAAGTTTGCACTTCTTAGAATCCTATTATATTAACTGTGAAAATTACTGATTGCTTTTACTTTTCCCCCAAGCAAGGCAGGTGCTGTGAATACTCTCATTCTTTTACTCTCAAGGGAAATCAAGTGCTCCTTCAACCATCTGAAAGAGAAAAACCATAGCCATGGTCCCAGTGACTCAGATCCCACATCTAGGACTGTAGCAAACTTTTGCTGTCCTACTCAAAACCTGAAGAGTAAGTGAACTAGAAACTACGAGTGGCTATGAGCCACAGGTGAGGTGAGGCTCCCTGACAAAGATGCTCTGCTCAGATTCATGCCTCTGAGATTTTAAGTGCCTCAAATAGAAACTGGCTATGCGGCAAACCTAATAGTTTTGGTGACTTGGACATCAGCCCCTGAGCAGGAATGGGGCCCAGGGTCCACCTTTTAGCTCCTACTTAGCCAACTGTCTACAGGTTGATAAACCTGCACGAGCAATGACACGCAAACCAAACTACCGTACCTCCTCAGGCAAGCTGACCACCAAGTCATTTTTCGTCTGTCCAACCAGCGCCTGCCAGAAGTATTCACTGCATGCGGCCAGCACAGCCCGGTGGGCCCGGAACTCCTTCCTTTCCACGATCAGAGTCACGTCACAGAGAATATCCTTTTTCCGCTGGTCATTGAGGCCCAGGAGGATGTTGGTGCAGTGGACTGTGGACTCATACACATACATGGGGGAGTCAGGCTTCTCATCCACAGACATGCCGTTCACACCCTGAAAGAGAGAAAGGTGGGGTCACCAGAGCTACCTGAGTCAGATACAGAAGGTGAGAAGAATGTCACAGTTCCTGTGACCCACGGCCATGAGCCTGGCAAAAAGAATTGTCCTTTAACATATTCATGCTCAGCACAATGAGCTCAGAAAACATATCTGGAAAGTCACGTTCGATGGCTGACTTTTATCTTTCCTTTTACTGCATCCTTTTACCCCATGGAAACAAAGCCAGGTCCCTTAATGAAACACCCAAAACATTTAAAACACATAGGTATTCTAAGACTTAGTAGTTTTGATTTTGCTAGCCGACTGAAAAAGGAACTTCCACATATACATGGTTCCAATTCAAGTATTGATTGAGCTTTGTGCTAAGGGGAAATGAATCATTTTGAAGTGTTTACTATGCTCTCTTGACAAAGTACACGTAAGCTCCTAGGTTGACGTTTGGCTAAGATGCCAAGCAGAGTAAATATCTAATCACAATACATAACTGAACAAGCGAAGTGAACTTTATGTGTACTACAGAGTTGGTAGAGCGAGCTATCACAATTGCCTTCTGCCACTTCAAGACAGAGCACAACCAACGGAATGCTGTTGTCGCTCACGAAATGCTCTTGAAAAGAAGTGGACTTGTGCTGTCATTATCCCAGCAGACTTGATATACATCCTCTTTAAGGAAACACAATATATCCCATTAAGAGTCATAAAAAAAGATGTATTCGACAGTGAAGATTACTTTACAAAAGGGTTCTTTGCTTCAAGAAGTATGCACTGATGTACTTTAAAAAGTAGTGTCTATAACTAATTTACATAGTTTTTCAGGAATGTCTACTACTAGTATGAATTCCAATAAAGTTTTACTTTCCTTTTGGCTTCATTCTTATTTATTTTAATAACTTTAACCCACGATAAATTGCATATAGTTATAGTGGGTGGTCTGATATGTTTTAGCATATGTATGCATCACAATCAAGACAGGGAACATACCCTACATCAATCATCAAAAAAATCTTTCCATGTCCCTTAATAGTCCTTCCCTTGCACCTCTCTGTACCCCCCTTCCCCCAAAACTACAGTCTGCTTTATGACACTATATATTAATTTGTATTTTCTATATTTTATGTAAATGGAATCATACAGATTATATTCCTTTATGTCTGGCTTCTTTTACTCAGCATGGTTATTTTGCAATTCCTCTATGTTGTTGCGTGCATCAAATGGTTGTTCCTTTATTGCTGAGTAGTGTTCCATTGTATGGATACAGCACAATTTTTTATCCATTCATCTATTGGCGGATCTTTGGGTGTTTCCAGTTTTGGGCTATTACAAATAAAGCTGCTATGAATTAGTGTATAAATCTATGCATGAACATATGCTTTCATTTCTCTTGTGTAAATTCTTAGGGGTAGAATGGATGGATCATTTGGTATGTGTAAGTCTAACTTTTTGAGAGACTATCCCTGTTTTCTACAGTGGTTGTAGAATTTCACATTTCAACAGCAGTGTATGAGAGTTCTAGTTCTTTCACATCCTTGCCACCACTTGTTATACTCAGTCTTTCTAGTTTCAGTCATTCTAATAAGTATACCATGGTATCTCTTTGTGGTTTTAATTTGCTTTTTTCTAATGACCGAAGATGCTGAACATTTTTCATGTGCTTATTTGCCATCTATTTACCTTCTTTGGAGAGATGTGTACTCAGATTCTTTGTCCATTTTCTACTGGTCTGTTTCCTTATTACTGAGATTTGAGCATTCGTTATATACTCTGAATAAAAGTCCTTTATCAGATATGTGATTTGTGAGTATTTTCTCCAAGTCTGTAGCTTGTCTTTTCATTCTCTCTCTCTCTTTTTTTTTTAAGATTTTTAAATTTACTTTTTACAGAGAAAGAGACAGTGAGAGAGGGAACACAAGCAGGAAAGTTGGAAAGGGAGAAGCAGGCTTCTTGCAGAGCAGGGAGACCGATATGGGACTCGATCCCAGGACCCTGGGATCATGACCTGAGCCACTCAGGCACCCCTGTCTTTTCATTCTCTTAACAGTGTTTTTCGAAGAGCAGAAAGTCTTCATCTGATGAAGACCAATCAAGCAATTTTTTTCTTTCATGGATCATGCTTTTGGTGGTATGTCTAAAAAATCTTTGCCTAAACCAAGGTCATATCTTTTTTTCAGATTTATACATAGATATTACTATTTTAATGTAATTATAAATGATTTTGCTTTTTAATTTAAATTTCTGATTTTTCATTGCTAGTACATAGTAATATAGATTGTTTTTGTGTATTGATCTTATATCCTGGAGTTTTGCCTAACTTGCTTACTAGTTCTCACAGCCTTATTTATTTATTTTGGTACATAACATAAATTTTGTAAAAACATGCATGTTGTTTGTGAATGAAGACATTTTACTTCCTTTCCAATCTGAATGATTTCAGTGTCTTTTTCTTGCTTATTGCATTGGCTAGAACCTCTAGTGCAATGTTGAATAGAAGTGGTAAGAGCAAACATCCTTGCCTTGTTCCTGATGTTAGGGGAACACTTCATCCTTTCACTGTTATTTATGACGGTAGCTATAGGTGCTTCGTAGATGCCCCTATTGAGTTGAGGAAATTTCTTTCTATTCCTAGTTTGCTGGGAATTTCTTTTTTTTAAAAAAAAATCATGAATGGATGCTGGATTTTGTTAAATGTGTTTTCTGCATGTATTGATAATCACATAATTTTTCTTTTTTAGTATGTTAATATGAATAATATGATTGATTTTTGAATGTTAAATCCATCTTGCATCTCTAAAATAAACTCCACATGACCGTAATGTATTTGTCTTATTATACATTGTTGGATTCATTTTTTAACATTTTGCTAAGAATTTTTGCCTCATGCTCATGTAGGATACTAGTCTGTAGTTTTCTTTTCATATATGTATTTTTAATCAGGGTAATGCTGGTCTCACAAAATGAGTTGGAAAATATTTCTTCCTCTTCAATTTTCTAGAAGAGTCTTTGTAGGATTGGTATCATTTCTTCCTTAAATATTTGGTAGAATTTACCTGTGAAGTCTCCTTGGCCTTGAGTTTTAACTACAAATTCAATTTTTTTAAAAAATTGTCAAATTCATTGGCATAAAGTTGTACATATATATTTCCTTATTTTCCTTTTAATATTAGTAGAATCTTTGTTGAATCTCATATTCCTGATATTGGGAATTTGTGTCATCTTTCTTTCTTTTCTGACCAGGTTGGCTAGAGGTTTATAAATTTTATCAATGTTCCCAAGGAACTAGCTTTTGTTAAATTGATTCTTATTGTTCTATTTTCTATTACATTGATTTCTGCTATCATTGTTGTACCCTTTCTTCTGCTTACTTTAGGCTTTAATTTGCTCTTTTTAATTTTTATTACCTTTTATTATTTTTTAAATTTTATTTTAATTCCACTATAGTTAACATACAGTGTTATATTAGTTTCAGGTGTAAAATATAGTTATTCAACAATTCTATATATTGTACACTCAGTGCTCATCATGGTAAGTATACTCTTAAACCCCTTCACCTATTTCACCCATCCCCTGACCCCAATCTCCCTACCTCCCCTCTGATAACCATCAACTTGTTCTCTATAGTTAGGGATCCTTTTTTGGTTTGTCTCTTTTTTTTCTTTGTTCATCTATTTTGTTTCTTAAATTCCACATTTGAGTGAAATCATATGGCATTTCTTTCTCTGATTTATGTCACTTAGCAGTAGACTCTCTAGATCCATCCATGTTACTGAAAATGGCAGGATTTCATTCTTTTTTACGACTGAGTAATATTTCATTTATCACATCTTTATCCATTCATCTATTGATAGACACTTGGGCTGCATCCATAATTTGGCTATTGTAAATAGTGCTGCAATAAACATAGGGGTGCATATATCCTTTTGAATTAGTGTTTTCGTATTCTTTGGGTAAATACCCAGCAGTGGAATTACTGGATCATATGGTAGTTCTATTTTTAAATTTCTGAGGAACCTCCATACTGTTTTCCACAGTGGCTGCACCAGTTTGCTTTCCCACCAACAGTGCAAGAGGATTCCTTTTTCTCCACATCCTTGCCAACATTTGCTGTTTCTTGTGGTTTTGATTTTAGCCATTCTGATAGGTGTGAGGTAATATCTCATTGTAGTTTTGATTGGCATGTCCCCAATGATCAGTGATGTTGAGCATCTATTCATGTCTGTTGTCCATCTGGATATCTTTGGAGAAATGTCTGTTCATGTCTTTGGCCCATTTTTAAATTAGATTATTTGTTTTTTGGGTGTTGAGTTTTATAAGTTCTTTACAGATTTTGGATACTAATCCTTTATCAGGTAAGTCATTTGCAAATATCTTCTCCCATTCGGTAGATTGTCTTTTAGTTTTATTGACTGTTTCCTTTGCTGTGCAGAAGCTTTTTATTTTGATGTAGTTTCAATAGTTTATTTTTGCTTTTGTTTCCCTTGCTTCAGGAGACATATCTAGAAAAATGTTGCTAAGGCTGATGTCAGAGAAATTACTGCCTGTGCTCTCTTCCAGGATTTTTACAGTGTTGGGTCTCACATTTAGGTCTTTAATCCATTTTGAGTTTATTTTTGTGTATGGTGTAAGAAAGTGGTCCAGTTTCATTCTTTTGCATTAGCTGTTCAGTTTTCCCAACACAATTTGTTGGAGAGACTGTCTTTTCCCATTGCATATTCTTACCTCCTTTGTCAAAGATTAATTGACCATTAACTTGCTTCTCTTTTTCCAGTTTCCAAAGGTGGAAGTTGAGTTCATTGATCTGAGATCTTTCAACTTTTCTAAGAAAAGCTTTAATGCTATACATTTCACTACAAGTAGTGCTTTAGCAACATCTCACAAATTTTGAAATGTTGTTTTAATTTTCATTAATTTTAAAATGCTTTCTAATTTCCCTTTTTGTTTCTTTCTTAATGTATAAATTATTTGGAAATGTTATTTAGTTTCCAAATGGTTGAAGGAGT